ACACAGTCGTCCACCGCCAGCCTCATGCCTACCTTCCTACGATGTCTCATTTTCAATTAAAATGCCGATGGATTTTATGACAAATGGAGAAGGTAATAAATCTGAACTATAAGCCTCTAACCACCATCCAAGCCAATGCGAAATACTTAATGCACCACTCCACTTGTTTCTGCTTAAAACTGATCTGTCTTGAAAATTTGGGCAGTCATGCACCTTGCTGTTGGGTGGCAGGGAATGCAGATCTGAAGGCTTCATTCCCATGAGTGGCAGCTTTGCCATCTTGGGTGTCTGTCTTCAGCATGGTCACTACTCTCTCAAGGCCCCCAGTGATGCTTCTCCCAAGGACTCATTCAGTCAATTATCGCACCTTGGGTGAGCGCCTACTAAATACCATGCATCTAATTCAGCACTAAAAACGAAAACACAGTGAGAAAGTCCAAGGTCATTGATCCCTGGGAAATCAAACAGGCTATTACTGGGCAGGGTGACGCCTCCCATGATACAGAACTGATACTGAATGAACATTAGGCGATGACTATGCCCAGAAATCCAGGGCCATTGTCTCTAATTCACCACATAAATAAAGCAAGGCGTCCAAAGCAGAACACCAAGGCAAGCCCACTCTGCATTGACAGCTCCACACCTCAACCACCAGCTACACTTCAAGTGCTCTGTGTACAGCTGCCCTGGCAGCTTGGAGCCGGGTCATTCAGGTATACGCTGGCCTTGTGTCTTCAGTACATATCACACCCTGTAGAGAGGATCGCAGGGATGCTGGACCACAGAGCACACCGAGAAAGAACTCTCAGCAAGCTACAAGGATCAAGATGAATGGTGTCATAAAACCCAGGGGACCTGAACCTGCAGACAAGTCATCCACCTGGCTCCTGTAACCATGGAGTGGTTGCAGAGATACCTCAGGGCTTGGGAGTGCTTCCTGCATAATCCAGGGGACCAGGAGTTCAAATCCCAGCACTCACACAACACGTCAGGCATCCCACACACTTCTGCCACTCCAGCTCTGAAGAGAAAAGTGGAGGAAGACGACTAGCTGAGGCTTGCTGGCTGCTAGCCTACCTAAGAAAATGCGAGCCAGGTTCAGGTAAAGAACCTGCTTCAAAGGTACAAGCAGGCAGTGACAAACGAAGGTACCCGATGCTCTCTTCTGGGCTCCACACAAGCGCACAGGTGAGCACACCTGCAAACACACACGCACACACACACACATGCGCACACACATATACACCTGCACACACACCTGTGCACACACACATACACACACACTGCACACACAACTATGAACATGCACATACACACACACACACACACCAGTACACACGCACATACATACAAAATAATAATAATAATAAGCTCTTTTGAGAATGATCATAAAAGAGTTCCTAAGGAAGTGGGCCTCAGTCAGACTGAGTAAGTTCAGACAAGGAGACGGAAGACACAATCAGTACCTCAGCAAAGCAGCGGACAAGGAGGTGCCCAGGAAACTCACAGGTCAAGCTCAGTAATGGCCAAGAGTATAACTAGGGTCAGTGGTAGGCAAGTCAGCAAGCAGCTGCCCAAAGGCCCAGCTGAAAGAAGTAGCCAGGCATACTATTAAAACAACCTAGTATTACAGCCTTGAAAACGGGCTCTAACCACAACACCTCTTAGGGAGCATCGCACACCATGGAAGGAGCACTGTGTTCTCTCATCATAACTCTGCTTGGGGAGCACCACACACCATGAAAGTAACACTGTATTATCAGAATTCACCTTGGGAGCACCACATACCATGGAAGGAGCACCGTGTTCCCCCTTCAGAACTCCTCTTAGGGAGCACCACACACCAGGAAAGGAACACTGTATTATCAGAATTCACCTTGGGGAGCACCACACACCATGGAAGGAGCACTGTGTTCCCTCTTCAGAACTCCTCTTGGGGAGCACCACACACCAGGAAAGGAACACTGTATTATCAAAATCAATCTTGGGAAGCACCACCCACCATGGAAGGAGCATTGTGTTCTCTTATCTGAATTCCTCTTGGAGAGCACCCCACCATGGAAGGAGCACTGTGTTCTCTTATCTGAATTCCTCTTGGAGAGCAACCCACACCATGGAAGGAACACTGTGTTTAGTCTCCCAGGAAAGGAAAGGAAATTGCTAGACGGTCTCCTCAAGATAGCACTGAAGGGCACCAAAATTTCCTAAAGACAATGGTCCCCTCTGCTTCTACTTGGAGGACAGAGCTCCAGCCTAGAGCTGCATTAATCTGAATCAAAGAGGTCAGAGATGGTCAACCACAGCAATGGTCTTCACCAGGACGCTCTTCATAGAATGGCTCCCTCTCTTCCTAAGTGGCCCACCGAGCTACCAGCATGTCTTAGATACCATCTCAGGGTCAGTCCTACAGATAATCTGTTCTTGTTTACACCTCATAAACTGTTTCCACACCTTAAATGACCTGATTTTCACAACCTCTATGAAATAAGCACTCGGCTTATCAGTTATGACCTGGGAGGTGATAAAGCCATCAAATTGCAAAATTCGGTCTAGGCTGCCTATCCATTGGTTGGTCTCATCTGTCACTCCTGCAAAAACATGGTAGTTTTAAAGTTCTCAGCAGTCAACAGGAAGTTCTACAGTCTTGGGCGATACAAAGAATACACACACACACACACACACACACACACACACATTCAAAAGTCATACTCCTGCAGTTTACCCAAGAAAAATAACAAGTGTGTTCTACTTCCCTAAAACTCTTCCTTTCTCTTCTAGATGAGGATTTTCTTGGTCCACTTATAAGATGAACCGCTCTATTTAAAGATTACTAAATAAACCTAGATTTATTTAGAGAGACAGCTCCATGCTTGAGTGCTTGCTGCTCTTCTAGAAGATGTGAGTCCAGCACTCACACCAGGGGGGCTCCAATACCCTCTTCCTGCCTTCATGGGCACCTGCACTTGTGTGGCAGATACACAGGCTCACAGATAAACTAAGTGAAGTTTTAAACTCTGAATGCTGGTCTACTTAGACTCTTGGTAGGGCTCCCAGTCGAGAGCTCACATCACCCTCCCTTTAGGCCACAGACTGTCCGTTTTCATTTCTCTGCCTTGAATTTCTCCCTTCCACTCCCTGTCTTCCAGAGACATCTCTACCTGTGTATCAACGCTTCTTTGGCAGAAGTGATGACATCCAAGACATAAAACCACAGGGCGCAGAAGAACCTTAGAAAGAGCCAACCATGTGCTTCATCTTTTGGCAAAAACAAGAGCAGCCATCACAATAGTTCACATACATGTTTTCTCTCTTAAAATCCCAACTCCCAACTTCTCCAGAGCAAGTTTTCAAAGTTCATAGGTCACACAAATTATTTAATAAACAACTTATCAATTAGTCTTGCATGGAGAAGAGAACAGTTAGATACTGACACGAAGACAGAGTCAAAATCAAAGTGGAACACAGTGACAAATGAGCAAAGCTCCCCTGTCATCACACCCACGAAAGAAGATCAAAGCCCGTTTGCTAACCATAGGCAAGCCTCCCTCTCCTTTCTCTAAACACACAATTCCATGAAAAGATCTTAACGGAAACAGAGTCAATACATCTTATTCACAAAACAACCATCTCGCCTCATTTTTTACCATCTCTTTTTTTGCAAGATAATTTATAGACTCTGGCAATCATTCAGCAATGGGATGAGAAATTTTTCACCCTTCTTATTTTCTAGCCCCCCCCCCCGGGAAAATCCCACACACTCATCTTGCTATGAACCACAGGAAGAGAGTGGTTGAATTCCAGTTAAGCCAAGTATTTCAACTGCACACTCTCAACCTCAATCTTAACCATACCCATGAAATGTGATCTTTCAGAGCCTGGCCTTTCAGTCATTCATTAAGATGTACGATAACGGTGTTCTCCCCCCAAGCACGGGCTCTGCAGAGGCCTCAGTCTATCTGAGAATGCACAGAAACGCTCTGGGCTACAACTTTTTAAAAGATCTTTTACATTCCTGGGTTATCTGAATATTTTAAAATTTTAGTTAGATATCTTCCAAAATCCTATTAGGTAATAAAGGGTGTGGGTCTTTTTTTTTTTCTTTTTAAATTTCCTTTCTGTGAAGAAAAAAAAAAAGCTTTATAGAAGGCCATTGGGTATACATGGAAAAATACAAATTTCAACACAAGCACTGTGTGAGTAACTGCAACTATGTTTGTTTATCAATCCTTTTGCCGGCTTTAGTCACAATGCCAACATGCAATTCCACACGCCAAATTTTAAATAGAGTATGAACACTGGGCTATTTGCTCACATAAAGCACAGATCAATAAACCCGGCGGATTAATGGAAAGAGTCACCCAGCAGTTGCCAAATGCTGCCAGAGAAATCTTCTTGGTGCACCTAGACACCAACACACCCTGCTCAGCACCACAGCCCCCACAGTGTGCTGGTAGTCTCTGAATAGAGACAGCCGCCATAAACGATACCAAGCTTAGCAGCAAATTCCTGGTGGGAGTAAGTTTCAAACTCCAAGGCCAACATCTGGCAAGTTCCACACCTACCTACCAACCCTGGCTGATGTGCACTGAAAATCCAGCACAAGGGATGAGTATTAAAATGTTAAATGCCCATTAATTAACTTGTACTCTGCTTAAAGCACACATAGGCGGTCCCTCCAGTTGCAGTTAAGAGTCCTGGCGTTTGCCTCATTGTCTCAGAAGGGAGACTGCTGACAGGAGTTGGTGAGCACAATGAAGTCTGGTCTGGTCCAGGGGTTTTGACTACACTCTGTGCGCAGTAACGGCACCGTGGACTCCCTCTCCACCCCTTGGATCAGGAAACTTATTCCTGGTCCCTGGCCTTCGCGTGTTAGGCACTGTCTCTTCCACCATGGGCACATCCCAGAGAAGGGCCAGAGAGAGGCACGTCTGGCTTTAGCAGAATCTGTTTACCGCGCACTGCCCCCCACACCGAGCGCTTCCGCCCCCCTTTGCTGGTACCTGCCCAGTTCCTCGCCGGTGTCGTAGTAGTCGTCCACGTTTTCCTGCCTGAACACAGTCATGATAGACTGTCTCGCCTCACCAGAACCCAGGCCACTCCGGCTCCGCGGCCCGAACCATCCCCACCGCCGCCGCGCCGCTGCGGGCCCCTCATGCACCAAGCCGCAGACCTCTGAGAGAAATGGAGAAGAGAATGAAAATGGCAAACCTCAAGGAAATAGAGGTTCCCGGGGCTCGGCTCCAATCTCGAGGCCTCCCGCGGGCTGGGGCCACGCGCGCCCTTTGTTAAAGCCCGGGCTGGGGGACCCCCACGCCCCACACCGCCGCGCCCCCAGCCCCGAGCCTGCGGTTACCCGGCTCCCGCCTCCGCCTCCGGACGACGCGGGGACAGCGGAGGGAAGGGACACAAAGCGCCCGGATCGGCCACCTGTTCCCCCGCGCCGGGGCCGCCCTACCGCTCTTCCCGCTCCTCCCGCCGCCTGTGGCGGCCGCTCACCGGCCCCGCAGCTCTCGGCCCGTGCGCCCTGCGCCCCGTGGCGGGTCCCGATCCGGGGCACCTCCAAACGGCCTCCGCTCCCTTGCCTCGAGATCAGCTCGGCCCCTTAGGGACGCAGCCACCACCTTCTCCTCCTCCTCCCCGTCCTCTTCCTCCGCTGCGCTCGCGGCTCCTCCCGGCTCCGCGCTCCCGCCCTGCCGCGCGCACCCCGCACACACCCACTCGCCCGCACCGAGCGCGCGCCCCACCTGTGACTTAGCGCCCGGCTGCCCTCTGCCGCCCGCTTCAGGGTTCTCCAGAGTGAGAACCCAACGACCCGCGTGGGCCAGGCGGTGTGCTCCGTGCCAGAACCACACACACACACACACAAACAGCAGGTTTAAAAAATAAATCAATAAAATCCTGCCCCGGAGACGCCAACACCCTGATGGAAACGATAGCAAACAAATAGCTTATAAATGAGATTGCTCTGTTCTTCTGTGTTGACAACAAAACCAACAGAGAATAACAGGGGCCTCATCAGAGTGGGCAACACCAGGGCAGATGTTTTGAGCTAGAATGATGGCAAGGTGTGCGATCCACGAAGGAAAAGGTTGAGCTATCAGAAGCCTGACGAAGCTTAAGAGGCCTGTCAGTACCTACGATCATCAGTTGTTGATGTTGAAACAGCAAGTCCTGCTTGAGCTATGTTAAGCGTACATTACACACCAGAGTCTAAGACACTACGAAACACGAATGAAAACCGCCGTAGGCATATCTTATGTTAGGTACATGTTCAAACGATGGTGCTTTGCATCTCTCAGATTAAATAAAACTTTATTAAAATTAATTACAACTGTTGTTATTTTTTTTTAGCCGTCACAACAGTACATAAGCGCCTTGCACTGGGTTGCTGGGGACTGGCCACGACACTCCAGGTCCACTCGTGAAATAGGTAGGTATCCACATATCCATTTTTCATTAAGTCTCGCTCCCTGTGTTCCCAGCTAAGCGGAATTCTCAAAGGGAATTCTATCCAGCTTCCTAGAACTGCCAAAACTCATCCGCTAACCCGGCTGAGATTTCATATCCACGCCACTGCTCAAACTCTTGATTCATCAGAAATTTTCAGCTGTGGAGGCTTGGGGCTACAAGAACAAAGTAAAGCAGAAGAATGCGCCTCAGGCCACGCGTCAGATCCTAATCTTAAATATTTCCCCAGGTAGGAGTGGTCACACACACCTGTAATTCCAGCACTTGGTGGTAGAGGCAGGAAAATCAGGAGCTTAAGGATAGCCTCAGCTACATAGCAAGTTGGAGGCTATCCTGGAGTACACGTCTCAAAAACAAAATCAAAGATATTCTTAGTGGCCCATGGGAAGAGCCCATCAGGCATGAGGAGTTAACAGTGACCTAAGTGGTAGATCTGAGAACAGGTACAAAAGTATCTTGAGAAATACAATGAAAATCAGCAGCCAAAAGGTGAGGGTAGGCGGGGTGGGGGGGGGGTGGGGGGGGCAATTCATTTTGGAAACAGAAAAATGAATACATCTGTTGGAAAAATGAAAAGCATGGGAAGAAACTTGGAAAGTGTTTACTGATGGCTGGTTTCCTACAAAAACAAATTTATTTTCCAGGCCACTAAAAGGATTGGATCTACTTGGGGCCATTAGGGCAGATTACAAGACATTTTTCTGGTGTCATGAAAGAGCAGAGTGGAATTTTGATTTATAAATTTTCATCTAATAATCGTAAGGCTGTCTACCAGCTGCACAAACTTAGATGAAATCTAAATCACCAGATCTGCACTAATTCAGGCAAATGTTTTAGAAAAGGGGACTGTGGCAGTTAGAAACAATGTCCATAAAGTCTTTGACTTTCTTCCAATCAAAATGCGGAATTTAATGTTCCTCCAGTGAAGACAGGCCTCCCTCACCCCTCACCCTGGTTGTTTCTAAGAAAATCTGGGGATAGCCATACTAGTTGGTTTCTTTCCAATGTTAGAGCAAGCGCTCTCTCTCTCTCTCTCTCTCTCTCTCTCTCTCTCTCCCTCCCTCCTTCCCTTCCTCCCTCCCTCCTTTCCTCTCTCCCTCTCTCCCTCTTCATTTCAAGGCCTTTCACAGAGTTTCCTCTGGAACTGCCATTTAAACAGATAAAAGCAGAGAAAACAAAGGAGTCGCCCTGCCCAGTCAGCTCTACCCACCCCTCCAGTCACCCAGCCCCTGGGCAGTTGACCATGCTAGCTCAAGTCCTGTGAGGATTACTCTGGGGTGATTTCTGGTAAAGCACTAGATCACCATATAAGAAAATCAGGAAAAGCTAGAGGGATCCGAAAAGGCTCAGGGAAATGTAACTTTGAGACACACCAGGGTCAAGGCTGGAGAAACTATTCTCTCACTGAACCTTTTTTACACAATTATGTAAATTGAGTTTTTCTGGTTTATAGTTTATTTTCTTAGTCTGTTTCATCATCTATAAAATGGGGACAACTTAAGTTTGATACCCCAAACCCCCAGTAAAAGGACAGAAGTGACTGCAGAAAGTTGTCCTCTGAACTACACACACACACACACACACACACACACACGCACACAACTAATGAAGAAAGTAAAGGAAATAATGTACACGGGGACAATTATCCTTGTATCCTCTGAGAGAATCTGAAGAGATAATCTGTGAATCATAGCTGTGTGTATTACACAATACATCAGACAATTTGGCATGGATTTCACAAAATGTTCTAAGCAAAAACAGCTCCAAGGGACACATCTTGTTCGCAGAAGACAAGAGCCCTCGTGGTATAAGATTTGAGCTACAAAGGACATCCACACAAATGGCTGATTACAATACACACCAAGACCTATGACAATCACGGACGTGGAATTCAAACCACAGTACAGATTTCAGGTTAATATTTCATAGCTACATTAGTCTGAATAAAACCACTTGCTGTAAAAAAAAAAAAATCTAACTCATCTCAGAGATTTATCACAGTAAAGATTCATTTCTTGTTTCCAGGGAGTTGGAAGAAGACTAAGCTCCATGGTCACTCAGGGACCCAGGAAGGCGCCATCTCCATGATGTCACTCAGGGACCAGGCATGTGGGGGTGGATTCATTGCACCCAGTGCAGGTTGCCATCTTTTCAAGGTTAGCTGATGAAAACAGAGAGAATACAGACTCTGGAGGTTTGTTAGGTTTGAAGTTCAGATTTAAACTTCTGTTTTTCTTTCCTTCCTTCTTGTTTTTCTGTTTCTTTGTTTTAATTAGCAAGATAGTATTAGATCAAAGAAAGATACTTTCAGGTTAGTTTTTAATAATGTAACTTTAGTCTTACCAAGAGAGACATTTTTGCTGGGCAGTGTGGCACACGCTTTTGATCCTAGCACTTAGGAGGCAGAGGCAAGGCCAGCCTGGTCTACAGAGCAAGTTCCAGAACAGCCAGGGCTACACAGAGAAACTCTGTCTCAAAACCAAAAAGAATGGATGTTTTTAAAAGATATATTTATTTTTATTATAGGCATATGAGTGTTTTATCTACACATATTTACATGGTCCGTGTGTATTCCTGGTGCCTGTGGAAGCCAGAAGAAAAATTGGAGTTACAGGTGTTTGTGAGCCAAAATGAAGGCGCTGGGAACGGAACCCCAGTCCTCTGTAAGAGCAGCCAGAGCTCCTAACCACTGAGCCGTCTCTCCAGCACCATGGGCAGATATTTTTAAATGATACCATGCAGAATATGCCTGCACTTTGGTTCATTGCTAAAGGTGCTTTCTTTGGAACTGGAGAGACGGCCCAGCAGGTAAGACGGCTTGCTGCTCTTCCTGAGCAATGTTACAAGCATTGGAACTCAGTTCCCAGCATCCACATCAGGCAGCTCACCACCACCTGTAACTCCAGTTCCAGAGTGTCCAGTGGCCCTCTGTGGCCTCCGTGGGGGGACAAGAGGGCTGCAGAGGTGGCTCAGTGATTAAGAGAACTGATGGCTCCTCCAGAGAATCTGGATTCAACTCCCAGACATGGCAGCTCACAAACATCTGTAGTTCCAGTTCCAGGGACTCTGATGCTCTCTTCTGGCTTTTGAGAACACCAGGCACAAGCTGGGCGGTGGTGGTGCACACCTTTAATCCCAGCACTCGGGAGGCAGAGGCAGGCGGATCTCTGGGAGTTCGAGATCAGCCTGGTCTACAAAGGGAGTTCCAGGACAGGCTCCAAAGCTACAGAGAAACCCTGTCTCGATAAACCAAAAAAAAAAAAAAAAAAAAGAACACCAGGCACACTCATAGGGCACACACATACACACACACACACACAGAGAGAGAGAGAGAGAGAGAGAGAGAGAGAGAGAGAGAGACAGACACCTAGACACATAAAACAAAAAGAAAGAAATCTCTCTTAAAAATTACTGAGCTTATGCTGCCTATGGTTTAGCCTTGGGTTCCAGAAAGCACATGACAATTTTTCCAGCACAATCCTCAAGCAAGCATGAGTTACCATTTCCACTGATTTGATTCACAATCCTGAGACTCTACTCTGTTTGAAGCTAGGGGTGCACACAGACATCAGGGCCTCTTCCCTCTCAGACTGTCTAGAGAGGCTGATGTGGACAAACCGCCATGTAACTGTGCTAAATACACTCCCCACCAGCATGGCCTTTTCAGCTTTCCCCACCCTTGTGGCTGAACTGCAAGACTGATTTAATCTTTCCTTAACCTTGGGTTGATAGTGGATCTGGCCAATGGGAAGCATCAGCCTAAGATCAAAGAACAGGGAGGAAAATGAGAACAGAAAAGTTATTTCCCAGACCTGCTTATGGGGTTTCCTCAGCCAGGGTCACACAAAGCAGGGCCTCACCTCTTTTGCATGGTTTTGGCTGTTCCGTCTCTCTTGTCTCCTTCAAACCCGAAGGTCTTGGCTACCCCACTGCCCCTAAGTCTCACCCCCTCCCCTTCAAACTTAAAAGTCATTCAACTTCTCTAGAACCCTGGTGATTAACAAGAAAAGCATTTCAGGGAGCTGTGGAAACAAGATGCTAGGTCTTAAACCCAGAAAAATGGCTTAACTGAGATGCCTATTTAATATATGAAAGGGGACCTGGCTGACAAGTTCTCCCAGCATCCCTCAGTCCCTACCTGTTACAGGGTCCTCCCTTTCCCTTACACTTAACTCTCCTGCCACAGGCTGGGCTGCCCTTCCCCCAGCTGCT